TCCAGCTGTCTGAGAGGTTTGGAGTTCATTAAATGCTAATGGCATTTAGCAATTTTCAGATACTTGGAAGAGGATAAGTCTGCATTTTTAGAAATGTTGCCGTCTTTAACTTGACTGTTCGTATTTTGCCCCTCAATTATATTCTGTAAGGAATGAAGGACTGAAATGTGGCTTTAAAATACGTTTTTCTTAATTTGCCTAGCTTTATTTCTTACTTAACTTTTTGACTTTTAATTGTATTGGTGACTAGTAGTGTCTGATGACTCTGAACACTTCTACCCTATGTTTTTGGCTAGTCAGAAAGAAGAGTGCATTTCTTGAAGCTGCTCTTTCCCTTCTGATGTTTTATTTCCCCAGGATATATTTTATGTATCACATTGTACGTTTCCCAGTACAGTGATTAGTTACACCTCTGAATATGTCAGGAGATGGAAACATGGCTCTGCTTCCTTCCATCATTTCTGGCCCTTCGCATAATACAGAAAGAAATGAGCTGTTTCTTCTGCAAGCAGTGGAACAAATCAGTAGCAATAGTCTCTCATGCCTCATCTGTTCTCTTATGCTGAAGGAGAAGATGGGACCTGGATCAGTTTTTCATTTGCACATCTATTCTGGGAATAGATAATTTGTTATGTAGAAAGCATAGTTTCAGCATGCAAATGTACCCATATCCCTTGGTGGGACAGATTCTTTGTCTTATTGAGACAAACAAAATAAGGAAGCTTGTGGTCTTGTCTTGGCTGGTGTAGATTCCTATAGCATTGGCATCTCGAGGACCAATCTAACACAACTGATTTCAGTTAAATCCTTCATCATTATCCTAATGCAGAATGTAGACAAAGTATTGGAAGGAGATACATCCAGAAACTACAGATTAGAGTACATCAAGGCCCAGTGAGTAGGCATTCACTGGAAGCTTCCTGGAGGCCCATGATATCTCACTGAAACTTAGGGAATCCATTTGGCTGTGCATAACTGAGAGTCTCTTTTTGCCCCCACTCCTTTAGACGAATTGCTTCCACAGGAAATTTTAAAATACTGAAGAAATTTTTATCTGCTGTTAAGTAAGAAATGTTTCCAGAGAAATTTTGGAAGTTTTCAGATTGAAGCTGCTCAAGAATAGGATCCATGAGAACATTAAGAGGAAGGAAGAGGAAGATTCAAAAGAAGCAAAAATTTTTGTCCCTGAATATCTGTATCACTGTTCTACAAAGGGCAGTAACATAGCTGGGTATGTAGGGTTAAAAAAGGCAAAAATACTAATCTGAATTTGTGCAAGGACTTTTATAAACTGTTTAGTGCCTATTTTCCCCATTTTTCTATAATGTAGAAATGCATGAAAATGTGAATGAAATAAAAGTTAATGGGATCTGAAACACGTGAAAGAAGGAAGACGTGAAGTCATAGAGTCATAGAATAATTCAGGTTGGAAGGACCAGGTTGCTCAGGGAACCTTTAAGCATGGAGATTGCACACCCCGTCTGGGTCATGTGTTCCAATGCTGGAATGTCCTAACAGTGGGAAGCTCTCTTCTTTCAAGTTATGTTTGTTGTCCCTTGTCTTCCCACTGTATGTCTCTGTGAAGAGCCTGGCTCCATTTTCCTTATAACCTCCCCTACCATGAAAGGGCAGGGAATGGAAAAGGAGATGCACCTGCCAGTAAAGGACTTCTTTGGGCTCTGGAATGGCTAATCAGCGTTCTTGGGCTCACTAAGCACCAGCTGGTGTAGCGAGGGAGCCAGCCTAAAGCTGTGCATTGCATTTTTCAGAAAATTAGACCTGTACGTACTCAGGTCCCATGGAAGGCCAATGAGAGAGAGATTACAAATTTTCATGGAAGTTCCGAGGCAGCTAAATATTTTCTCTCTAAATCAAAGCTTTGATCTTTGTAACTGTTGGGTTTTATTTTAGCTCCAAGTAAACATAAAGCTACTTGAGTTATCAGATATGTAACTACTAGTAGATTTTTCTGAGCATGTATTAAAGGGACAGTTTACTGGACTGAATAGCTAACATAGAAGGGAAAACAGTAAATTGCTGCACACCTTGGTTCAGAATGATACGCAGATGAGTGCCTATATCTCCCAAATGTTTTGCATGCCCATTAAAGAGAATTTTGCCTTGACTTCAATGATTATATTTTAAACTGATGTCAGTGTTGGCTTACATTTTCTAAATGTTGGACTTGTTTCATCTTCAGTCAGCGTGCTTATCAGTTCCAAAATATACATGCTCTTTTTCAATAAATTTTCATTTTAGATTAAAAATAAATAAATCTTTCATATTGCAGTAAAGAGATAGAATTAAAAGAAGAAAAAATGCAGAAATCAGATATTAATTTATTTTATTTTATCATACTGAAGGGCAAATGAATTTGATGGCCCATTTTTTAATTGACATATCGATTACAATTTTGCAAGAAGTGGTTGTGGAATTCAGCAAAAATGATTGAGGTGGTACAAATGCTTATAAATCTGTCCCACATTGTTCTTGTTCTTTAATTGTAATTGTCTGATAAAACTTCCATCAGTTTTTGTAATTAACCTAATGGTCTAAATGAATTTCCAGATCACTGGTTATTCGTTTCAATATAGAAAATGCCATTACATTGAGTTTAATTAATACAAAGTAAGTTCACAGTCCATTGTATTAGAATAGAATTTTA